CACTCTGTAGACCTGGCCAATGATAATTTTGCCTTATTCTATTGAGTGTCTTCGTGACCCCTAAGTGAGCTGAAGTCTTTGCATCATGCATCTGCTCTAAAATAAGTCTTCTGTGGGATAGGGGAACCACTATCTGATATGTGGTCATATTACTGTCTTCAATCTCCCACATCCGACAAAGCAGATTATCTTTTACTGTGAGTCTACTCCACTGAGCCCAAAGTGACTTCACAAAATAGCTTTCCGAGGATATATCACTAAACTCTGGACGCTTCTCGTTTTGTAACCAAGACTTTACAAGTCTTATATCCTTGCAAACATCTTGCAAAGTAATCCAGTCAGATGATTCATTATTTGCTTGAGCCTCGTCCTCTATCACTCTTGTATGATCTGCAGACATATCCGTCTTGTCCCAGCTATCAAAGTATCCACACTGGCTACAAGGTACTCTACTGAGTCCATCTGCATTTCCATGCAGTTTACCAGCCCGATGCTCTATCTCCATGTCATAAGTTGATATGACCTCGAGCCAACGAGCCAACTGACCCTCTGGGTCTTTAAATCTAAGCAACCACTTGAGCGAGCTGTGATCAGTCCTTACTAAGAACTTATGTCCATACAAGAATGGTCGAAAATGCTTAATGAAGGTAACAACAGCCAGAAGCTCTTTCCGAGTAACGCAATATTTCCTTTCCGACTTACTGAGTACTTTACTTGCGTATGCCACAACCCTCTCTTGACCATTTTGAATCTGTGATAGAGCAGCGCCCATGGCATACTGACTTGCGTCCGTGTCTAGTATAAAAGGCTTAGTAAAGTCTGGGTGCGTAAGAATGGGGGCAGAAGTCAATCGACTTTTAATGAGATCAAACGAAGTTTGGCACTCATCAGTCCATTTAAATGGAACACATGCCTCTGTGAGTTTATGTAACGGTTGGGCAATTTGAGCATAATTGGTTATAAACTTTCTATAGTAGCTAGAAAGACCAATAAAAGATCGGACTTGGGTCTTGTTCACTGGTACAGGCCACTGCTTTACAATCTCAATCTTTTCCGGATCTGTCTGGATCCCCTGTTCAGAGATTATATGTCCCAAGTACTTAACCTTTTGGGCAAACAAAGCACACTTCCTAGCCTTCAGCTTCAGTCCGGCTGCTAGAAGCTTTTCAAAGACCAATTCTAGATTTTTTAGCATTTCGTCAAATGTCTTTCCGTATACGATGACATCATCTAAGTATATAAGACAGATCTGCCATTGCAAGCCAGCTAGTACCGACTCCATCAAGCGTTCAAACGTAGCTGGGGCATTACAAAGCCCGAATGGCATGACATTAAACTCGTACAGACCTTGGCGAGTAACAAATGCTGTCTTAGCCTTATCCTGTGGCTCTAGCTCAACTTGCCAGTAACCAGCATTTAAGTCCAAAGTACTAAACCACTTGGCACCACGCAGCTGGTTTAGAGACTCGTCAATACGAGGTAGTGGGTAAGCGTCCTTTGTTGTAACACTATTTAAGCGCCTGTAGTCTACACAGAATCTTGTAGATCCGTCTTTCTTCTTTACTAGTACAATTGCAGAAGACCAAGGGCTTTGTGATGGTTCAATAATACCTCTACGTAGCATGTCAGAAACGTGTTCTTGAACCTCTTCTTGCATGTGGAATGGGAGACGCTTTGGTGCCTGTTTAATAGGTGCATTGTTACCTGTTTCTATCTTGTGTCTGACTTTGGCAGTTCGTCCTACGTCCTCATCAGTCTTGGAAAACAGTGATGCATACTTCAGTAAAAGATGTTTGGCTTTTTGTCTATCTTCCTTATCTAAATGACCAGTATTGCTTCTATAAAGCTCTCGCAAATGTAATGGAATATTACTGTTCTCATCAAGATGACAGTTTCTCCCCGGTATCAATGACACAACCTCATCAACTGAGGTTAATTTTCCTACAACAGTTCCAGGGTACATGGTTCTACTATCATCTGAAATATTCATGATACGGATGGGGACCATTTCCTGTCTCCGGACAAGTGCTTTAGCCAGCAAGCAAAAGTCTGACTTAAGAAGTTTCTCAGCTGGCTCTATCAAACCAACTTTAGTCGGAAGTGTTCCATCCGAACTTGCACATATTTGTCCCTCTACCATGACTTCTGATCTAGCTGGTACAGTGATCCTATGTACAATGGCTACCTTATATGAACTCGCCGACCCTTCCAGCTGAATAGGGTGCTCTATGCCTGAGATTGATATCTGATGCCTACGCATGTTAATTATTGCCTCATGCTTTACCAGGAAATCTAGACCTAGTATTCCGTCTACAGTTATGTCAGCTATAATCATCTCATGTTGCAGCTCAACGTCATCCAGCTTAAAATCTACTGGAACTTTCCCCAACACCTTTAGTGTAGTTCCGCTAGCTGATAATACGTCTCTCGTTACCTCAGTCAATGCATAACTTCCTGTCCTTGCAATATTCTCATAACATATTGTAGAAAGCAAAGATACTGTAGCACCTGTATCAATCAACAAGTATGCATCCATTCCATGGATACGGGCAGTAACATAAACCCCTTTCCCGTTAATAGAGTTTACAGCCCTAGAGTACTCATCATTTACAGTATGATCTTTCTTTAAACCTGCTTCAGGTTTATTTTGCTCCTCCCTCTTAGTATCAGTGTTGTCCTTAAACTTGTGTTCATGCTCTTTCTTAAGCTGTGGGCAATCTCTTCTCAGATGTTTATCAGATCCACACTTGTAGCATTTCCTAGCTCGAATTTTATCATCTGTGTGTGTCGCTGGACGAGGCATACGTCTCTGACTTTGTGACTGAAACTTCCACTGTTTCAATTCTCTCATATCACGCTGTAAGGAACGCATGTTCTTTTCAACTGTTTCTATGAAATGATCGAGTTTCGAGGCCTTAGACGAGTCCTCTGTATTCTCACTCATCACCCTGACTGCATCTATGCGACGGCTCTCTGCTCTGTTGTATGCTTCTAGTTCAACAGCTCTCTGTATTGCATCATTTAAGTTCATAGGTCTCGCCTGCTTAATCTTGAGACGCATTTCTGAGTTGTGCAACCCATCTAAGAATTGTTCTGTCGCGAGTATTTCCCGGACGTCATCAGGAGCAGTTGGGTAGGCTAAATTTATGAGTCTTCTTATGTCTTGACCCATCTCCGGCAAACTTTCAGATGCCTTTTGTCTTCTGTCTCTGAGCTGTGCTCTGTATAGCTCTGTCTGGTTTAAAGGCGCAAACCTATCCTGTAGGGCTTTGACTAGTTTACCGTAGTTCTGTCGTCCCTCTCTAGGCTGATTTCCTAATACTCCTTGTGCTTGGCCTCTAAGGGATGCAGCCAAGTACAATCCCTTCTCAGTCTCTGTCCACTCATTTAAAAGACAGACTGATTCGAAATGCGACAGATAATCGTTCCACAAACCTGACCCATCATATGTAGCTGGCTTTATAAAATTTCTGGATCGGGCTTGTCCTGGGTTTGTATCCTTCCTTGGCTTGGGAGCACGCATGGGAGCTCGAACATTAGGTACAGAACTTTCATCATCATCAGTACATGCACAAACATCATCACTGACATATCCACTAACACTATCTCTCCGTCTCTCATGCGGAGTACTGGTACTCATGCCTGGTCTGTGTCTCAGGACGCCTGGAGTCCGTGTACCAGGGGAATTCCTACCCATGACAGAGTCATGTATCTCTCTATTTAAACGAATTATTTCCCTTTCCAAAAAATCAACATCAGCTTGTAAATCTGTCATTCTTATGAATGTAATAAAATGCTATCAATGAAATTAACTTAAAACAACGACCGATCCAAATCCCGACGCTGCCGCCAATTTTTGTAACGTGTTTTGGGTCCGATGATTTGGACCAGTCTGGGAGGATGTATAAAAATGATCAAAATTACAAGAATTATGTACAAAAGCTAATATAAGAACGAGTCAATATATACATATACATATATCTAGGGTTATCTATCCCTTTAATATAAAAACTAATAACAGGTAATTTCTTAAGGACAGGGCTCTGTCCTGGGTATCTGTCCGTGGGACGTGTCTCAGGGATGTGTCCTGTAGGCTGTGTCCCAAGACGGCTGTGTCCTTTTGATCTTACACAGGCTGCAGCCAGGTACTAGATATATATCTACCGCTCGTATATACAGTTAAATGCCACTGTATTTTCCGTAACAAGCTAGAAAACACAATACAACACTGGGCAGTTGTATTTAACACTATAATTCTTTTTATTAACTCTAACCACCGTACCTGTAAACAACCTTCTCCTTCGACAGCCAAACACAGAATGACAATTCTACCTCGGATGCGCTCTTATATATACACCAGCGACACCCGGACTAACCTCGGATTCCATCATACCCCTAATGATAAAGCCCGTCTATAATTGAATCCCGAGCCCGATCGTCACAAAAGATAAGGAGGCCCTGAACACTAATAGAATTTTTTTGGGACTTAGGAAAATTATATAAAGATGTATATTTTAAGTTTATTTAATTCATTTTTGACATAGGTGTCATATTTCTACAGGAAAAGTATTCAGAAAATGAAGTATTAGTGAACAGAATAGTGAACTGTTACTTACATTAGGAAAAAAACATGCAAATAATGTTTTTAATTACTTTATCTTGGTCATATATAATGTTAAGAATACATTTGCTGTGCATTTCCATTTAATATTCCATTTTACGTCAAAGGGCAGATAAAACTACCATAGAATTAGAACTCTTCAGTGAGCAGTGTTTGGAGCTTCCTTTTTTATATTTTTTCACCATTTATGTAAGGATATATTAAACTTTAACAAGAGGAATCGCTCTTTCATTTACTGTTAGAAATAGATTGTATCCAAGAAATAAAGCTAAAAAAAAATATATATATATATTTACAAATATTTTACAATGCAATGGTACAAAACTAAAGAATACCCTGAAAATACAGACAACTCTATATAAAAAAAAAACAACATCAATTCAACTGCCACCTTTACTTTTTCAATAGATCATATTTATCAAATTGATGTACAGAATCCCTTTTCAATGTTTGTAGCAGACTTACAAGAATATACATTGTATTGTGATATAATTCAATCTACATTGGTCATTTGCTCCAGAATCGTACAATATGAAATATGAATGAAAACAATTTAATTTTTTTCTTTGTTATCATTAGAAAATTTTCACCAACCATTCAGAAGAAATTCAAAATATAAAAGATACAGGACATTGGTATAAAATGTATTCAAGAAACATTTAGAAGTGATAAAGGAATGCAGAGACCACCATACATTATCCACAGAGTAAAGTGAACAAATAAAGACTTCACAAAAAACACTGTATCACAAAATAATAATGCAGCACTATAAACAATGATGACCAATACATTATGTAAATACATGTATAAAACAATGGTAATTAAAAGGAAAACTATTAAAGCTCTCTTTCCTATCATGTAAACACAACTGTATTCATATCTAGCTAGCCTAACCTGATCTGAGATTCTTCTACTGGATTGTAGTTTTATATGACACATGTAAATCAACCCTGATTTAACAAGCTGAGAAGATCAAGCTGTTAAAAAAAATCAAGATCAGAATTGAATGATTTCCAAATTCTAGTGCATCTTGGACATAGAATATGAAATGGAAGTTCATAGAATTGTTTAGAAAACACCCGTGGAACAAAAAAACACCTTTACATCCCTCTCGCAGTTAAAAATACAGACCCTACAATAAGATATGAATGAAATGAACACACACAGCTTCCTATTTAGACTACTATCAGACAACATAAACTACAGTCTAAAATGAAATCAATCACTACTCTAATACTGACCAATGAACTACATATTTATATAGAAATGACACGGACTGTCCAACGTTAAAAAACAATGAACATTCTTACTGCCTTCTAGGTGTCAATGGCAAATTGTAACTGTAATTAAGTACATAATTTCCATGTGAGGTAAAATTAACAACCTCTTCATAAATACATGTTCATAGTTAAAGGTTACAATAAAAAAAAATGAAGAGAACATTTCAAGTCTTTCCTTGATGTTCACAAAAAATATCACATTATTCGGACTATCATAAATTGCCAACGCAATGAAGATTTCACAGTATGATGGGTGATAGTAAAAGTTATGAATGAACACAATCTGTCCGGCACTTTCCTAGCCCTGCTAGGCCATGTCTCTCTAGGGGGGTAGTCCAGTACCCCCCCTTCTGAAATGTTCTATCATAGACCTGGTACTGCCTTATCAGCAATGCCATTATTGGATTTGATTTCATCTCTGTACCCTGAATTAAACAATAGTAAACCATAAGCATAAAAAATACATTAAATTTAAATCCCTCCCTTTCTTTAAATTTCAAAATTGTAAAGAATTTATCATATTCTCTATTTCAAAGGCATATTTATACATATAAGGGAGAAGGGGTATATAAATTTCTGGCTTCACTTGACATGCAAAGAACAGAAGTTAAATAATTTAACAAAATTCACAAGCATTTAGAGAATAGGTACAATGGAGGCAAAAAGAATGGGTTATATGTACACATCAATGTTGCACAGGGAAGCTCAAAAATCAAGAAAAACAATCATTAATTGGATGATTCTGAGCTTGTCAAGAAATCACTTTTGTGAATGCCTATCAAAAGTCCTCACAAGTACAGTTATAATTAAAAACAAAGAAAGGACACATATCAAGTTTTCCTTTAATACAGTGTCTTGCAAAAGAACTTTTGATACTTGTTCTAAGAATTAAAGAGAATGACTATCATGGAATGCAAGAGGTTGCAAAGAGAAAACTACAATGCATATGTCATGGTGACATAAAAGGGGGAAAAAGAAGAATGCCAGGAAACATTTTGCTACTTGTATACCAGTGTAATTTTCAGCCAGCATTCCAAGAGGTTGAAATGTATACTAATAGTCTTTTTCTTGAGACTTACTGATAATAGCGACTAGCTGCTTTTTAGATACTGTAATCTTTTGAAAATCTGTGTATCAAATACAACTCCACACAAATTAACATTAAGTACCATCTTCTCTGTAAAGATGGGCACACAATGGACCCCACTGCCGTGTTTGTGATTAAACTTTCAAACTTAGGCTTGCCATATCTGCCGGTCATTCTAACCGAAACTTTCCAAAGAAACATTCACTATGATAAGCTTTCTCATACAAAAGTAAAATTTGTAACTTTATATCTAGACACATAACCCTGACAATTTTAGAAAAAGATATCACTTTTTAAGTACATGTATTTAACACTCTTGAGATTTCACGGTAATTTTTGTGCGGAAATATTATTTGTCATTTGTGTTACAGACTTTAGTAGGGAACTTACAGAGCCCAGCTTTATTACATTCTTTTGATCCTTCACAAGCCCTCATTGCATTCAGCTGCTCATGCAGCTGTTGTAGAATACCATAATTAACATCATGTATAGCATTCCTTGTCTGCAAAACATAAAATTTATCTTTGTTAATAGCTGGACTGACATTGCACTTGAATATACTAGCTAATAAATAAGTCCCTCTCTTTTCAATGTGAAAACAAATGATGGCACAAACAAAATGTAAGTTCTGAAAAGTATATTAAAAACTGCATCTCAAAATTTTAAAATTATAGAGCTGAAGAACAAGTCAACAAAATTACATACAATCTATATGAAAACAAACTTTATGATTGTTTTTATAGGCCATTAATAGAGAGACCACAAAAAATAATCAAAATCACAAAGATTTTCAGACATACTGTTTTCTTACCTGAAATGGGTCTTTTTTGAGGTCATAGTAGCTGATAAAGTTGTTAATAAATTCACAGTACAGTAGATCATGTGTAGTGTTGAGTGTACGGATACACCAGTACTTGTTATTGTGCGAGTTTGTACAGAAGCAAAATGGTCCATCTGGAAATTAATGATGTAAAGTAATTAAATATCACATTAATCTACAATATCAAAACAAATATACTGAACATGAATTAAAATTAACAAGGGCATTCAACTGTGTCCACATCAAACAGGTAAAATACAAGTACTATGAATTTTGATAAGATATTCTTCCTACAAAAAAAAAAAAAAAAACAAAAACAAAAAATCCCCAGCTAAAAACACTTCATTCTTTCAGACTGACAGCTTTACCAGCAATGATGTATGAGGTACTGTACTGTACCACTAGGGGTGTTTTATGTACATATTATGATGTACAGTGTACTTACTAGACCAGTGGGGGGGGGGGGATGTACATATTATGATGTACAGTGTACTTACTAGACCAGTGGGGGGGGTATGTACATATTATGATGTACAGTGTACTTACTAGATCAGTGGGGGGGGGGGTATGTACATATTATGATGTACAGTGTACTTACTAGACCAGTGGGGGGGGGGGTTATGTACATATTATGATGTACAGTGTACTTACTAGACCAGTGGGGGGGGGGGGTATGTACATATTATGATGTACAGTGTACTTACTAGACCAGTGGGGGGGGGTATGTACATATTATGATGTACAGTGTACTTACTAGACCAGTGGGGGGGGGTATGTACATATTATGATGTACAGTGTACTTACTAGACCAGTGGGGGGGGGGGTATGTACATATTATGATGTACAGTGTACTTACTAGACCAGTGGGGGGGGGGGGGTATGTACATATTATGATGTACAGTGTACTTACTAGACCAGTGGGGGGGGGGGGTTATGTACATATTATGATGTACAGTGTACTTACTAGATCAGTGGGGGGGGGGGGTTATGTACATATTATAATGTACAATGTACTTACTAGATCAGTGGGGGGGGGGGGGTATGTACATATTATGATGTACAGTTTACTTACTAGACCAGTGGGGGGGGGGGGGTATGTACATATTATGATGTACAGTGTACTTACTAGACCAGTGGGGGGGTATGTACATATTATGATGTACAGTGTACTTACTAGATCAGTGGGGAGGGGGGGGTATGTACATATTATGATGTACAGTGTACTTACTAGACCAGTGGGGGGGTATGTACATATTATGATGTACAGTGTACTTATTAGACCAGTGGGAGGGGGGGGATGTACATATTATGATGTACAGTGTACTTACTGGTCCAGTAGGGGGGTGTTTTCCAGTGACTGTTGTCCATCAGGGAACAGTCCATCGCCGCCCTCCTACAGGCTGGGTGATCACGACGTGTTACTTTCTCATTAGGTGGCAAGTTCCAGTACGTAGCTGTTTAAGAGAAATAAAAGCATTACAAATTCAAGTTCTCAGAAATCAATGCTCTAATTTTATAAGATATACATGTAGATGACAATTGTGATTTTTTTAATAAAACAATAAAGGTTATATAAGGTTCTGAAAAGTATTCAAACTAAAGGGTGCCCTCCTTTAGTTAAGTTTATTCCCATTGCTGGTATTTGTCATAAAAAAATTGCATGTCTCCAAAGAACACATCTTGTGGTTATCTGACATACTGGATATAAGAATGGATTGACTTTGGCAATTTTGATGGAATATTTCAATTTCTTTGAGATAAATTGAATTTGTTGTGTGAGTAATGATTTAACAATATTTTTTTTTTCAGTAACTTATTTTGAGGTCTGCACCACAAAATTACAGGAGTGTTGTAATAAAGTCACTTACAATTCAACAGGGATTATGCAATAGAGTCAATTACAATTCAACAGGGATTATGTAACACAGTTACTTACAATTTCACAGGGATTATGTCATACAATTACTCACAATTCCACAGGGATTATGTAATACAGTTACTTACAATTCCACAGGGATTATGTAATACAGTTGTTTACAATTCCACAGGGGTCATGTAATACAGTTACTTACATTCCACAGGGGTGATGTAATACACTTACAATTCCACAGGGGTGATGTAATACACTTACAATTCCACAAGGGTGAATCCACTGTGTGCTGCTTTCTTCTCCTCTTCCTATTTCGTCTGCGACGACGTCTTTGTTCTATTTCCTTTTTCCTAGATAAAAATTTAGATAAATTTAATAAACAATAGGTCCATGGGCTGCATCAGTCACCTGAGCACTTTGGCTAGAGAAAATCAGAAATCAGTTCAGAATTGAAAAGTTTAAATATATAAATGCCCCCCCCCCCCCACTCACACAATCCCCTCCTTGATGGGCAGAGAGGGAGTCATGATTGAACAAAATTGAATCTACACTACCTGAGGATGTTTCCAAATAAGCATGTCCAATATGGCTTTGCTGTTTTTGAGAGGGGGATTTTTTAGGATCCGTTCTTTAATTACTATGCAAATCTTTGATTGCCCTTTGTGGCCCCACCCCAACCCCAGAGGTCATGATTTGAATAAATTTGAAAGCTCTCACATAAGTTTCACCTTTTCTGGCCTAGTGGTTATTTAGAAGAAGATTTATAAAACATGACATTAAATTTTCACTAATCCTTAATTATATCCCCTAGAAAAAGGAAGTGGCCCTTCATTTGAACAAACTTGAATCTCCTTCACCCAAGGATGCTTTGTGGCAAGTTTGGTTGAAATTCGCCCGTGGTTCTTAAGAAGAAGTTGAAAATGTGAAAAGTTTACAAAGACACACAACACAGAGACGCCCAACACCCTTCGATTGGAAAAATTCACTTGATCCTTTGGCTCAGGTGAGCTAAACAACGTATTTGCACCTTCTCGTCATGGAAGCTGTATTTAAATACTCCAAAATCTCAATATTTCAAACTTCTCTCAATATAAAAATGGACTTCTGTGGGGGTTCAGCCTTTCATTTTTCTAACTTAACTTCGATACTTTAATATGTGGCTTATACACATACCTTTCATATTGTCTGCTGTTACTTTGGCTACAGGGTTCACAGTCTGAATCTAAATAACCTCTGCCATTCATCTCATTACCAAACTCATTGAGGAATGACTCCTTGGGTTTAGAGGTCTTCAGATGTTTTCTGTAGATCTGCAGCATAAAGTTTATATGTTGAGGAAGCCTCATATCAAATGATTGTTCAATGAAAATGCATTACATGTACTTAAAATTGTTTAAAATTCTTTACATTGTTTTAAGCTACAGATCTGAAAAAAATACAACTAAAGCAAGACTGTAAGGATAAGCAATCCTGGATGCATCTTACATGCAATTTTTTTCCCCCCATATACCAGTGCTTGTAGGGCATAATGAACCCGCTGCAAATCTTTAATTTGGCCTACATCTGGATTTAACAACTGTATGATAAACATTCCTAGATGACTTATCCATTCCAGTTTGGTCCGGATAATTCAAATACTTTAATCTGCATTTAAAACTAATAATGGTGTCAATACAGACGGGTAAAGCATAAACACATCTCAGCTTTGCTGGGGTGATTGCTACATACCCTTAGATCTTCAAGCATTTTTCTGTACTCTTCAATCATTTCATCAAGTTTCTCTTTATGATTTTTCCATTCTACTGGGTCCTGATACAGAATATTATCACAAGTCACGGTGTCATTGGGTAAAACTCTACAGCGACGGTCAAATGGCTGAACTGTTGAAGTCAAAGGGTCATCATTTACAGAGTAATAAAGATCACAAAGGGAAAATTGTTTAAAATAATTCCATTCAAAAGCATAAAAATGTAATTTTTTTTTCTGCTTTTAATGGACAAGTTTCTATTTACCTGGTATAGAATTCTGTAGTGAGTAGCTTGCATTACCAATCATTTGGAGGTAGGATCTCTTGGTTCTGATAAATCTGGGTGTAAAATCTGAAAATAATCTCAGGAATAAATACTTGCCAAATTGTATTCTGAAGTTGAGTCAAGTATTTTCTATATTTAGTCCTATTTTTAACATTATGGTGCCTAGCTAGATAAATTGATGTCTAAAAAGACTCACTCAAGCCTCTGGCTTGAGATATCTGAATATTACTTTTAAGTTCAATTCATTCCAAACAACCCGATCACTGTTCTAGAGCATAAATGATTTACCTTTGCTAGCATGCTTCATCAAGAACTCGGTTTGACTCTGTTTTTCTCTTCGATTCATTCTCTTCTTCCTACGACCACAGGGGCAATGTTTCCTTGACTTAATATATCCATCCCTCTGCATTTTTCTCCTACCCTTATCCTTCAACCGACACTTCATCAGCCTCGGCAAATCTCGACCAAATTCTTGAACACATTGGTATTTCTGATCAAAAAAAAAAAGGATGCATAAATTTTTGTTCCACTGCACATATGTGTCTTTAAAACTTTGACACAGATTTATTATTTTGGAAATTTAAACAGATAACTACAATTTTAACACCATAAATGTCAAGTTCGTAGTGCATGCACTGTGGGATCATTTTCATTTGTGTGAGTCAATGTTTGTGGACAATCAAAATTTTACTCATCCATGGAGACCTTATTCTTGTAATAACTTGTTTATACACAAGATTCAATGACTCAATAGTTGGCAAACAAGAAGTCTGTGAGCCAGTGCTCACTAATAATAAACCCGCTCTGATGTGAATACACAAGTTCATTTATGGACAGACATAGAGATAAACAAGAAGTTGACATCAGATTCGTACAAAAATGAATCCCACCATATAAGATGCCTAAACAAAGAGTATGCCTACACATTCAAGCATCTGCAATAAGTAGTTGCTGAGGAAACTGCAACAAAAAATTGTTATATATTTTGTTATGTATGTTACGGACAGAGGCATGGATAAACAGGAAGTTGACATCGGATTCTCACAAAAACTAGAAAACTGACCAGTCAGCAAGGGTCCCGCCGAGGGGTAGAAATATAAGGGTGCAGCTTACAGAATGAGAATTTTAATTGATTACAAAAATTAAAAATATATGAAGAAGAATATGCAATAACAACTGTACTTATAAAATTTCAAGATACATGTAATTCCTAAATATCCAACAACCTGTAAAGAGCATCCCTGTATTTACATAAGGCAGTAAAAAACATCATATCTATAATAACTCAATTAAATGTATATTTAAACAAGAATTAAGCATGTGTTTTATAAAATGCCAGCCTTCAGTGAATGTAAATATCACCCAGGCTTGACCTTAACTTCAAAATAAACATCAGTTGCAGACAAAGGCTAATTTATTTTAAAGTGACAAATAAAGATAAGTCTGGAAAATTTTCTGTCCCAGACAAGATAATTAATCCCAGGGGATTAATTGTACTGCTCTCTCATCCTTTTCTTATAAGTTCACAACAAAGACTTTTTCAGTAATGATAGAATGAGTTTATTATCGGACTACCTGTTAAAATTAATAGTATTCTTAAATTAACATAATTAAGGCAGCAAAAAAAAAAAAAAAAAAAAAAAAAAAAAAAAAAAATGAATAAATGAATAATAAAAAAACATGTCTTGATGTATATCTTGTTTTTAGAATTCAATAAAATCACAACTCATTGTGTATTTTACCAAAATAAAGCATGAACATAATTTAAATCCACATTTCATAGAATGTAAACATCATTCAGAATTGGTCTTAACTTCAAAACAAAATTCATTTTCAGACAGTTGTGTTAATTAATCTCAATTTGACAGAAACAGATAATGCTTTGGATTTTCTTCTAGAGGAAAGTTAATTAATCCCATAGGACTAGTTGCAGCTTTCATACTTTACAATAGGAACATTCACAGCAGTTATCTCTCTTTGCCCTGGCATTCATTCTAATTATGTAAAGTTAATGTCACAGGGTGAATAAATTATTATTCTGATAAATATTATATGTATGATTAAATATTTAATGACCTAATCACTAATCATCATTTCATTATCTTCATCATCATTTTCATCTATAAAGCATAGTGAATTACAGTCCTTTGGAATTTACTATGTGTTCATTCATAAAATATCTCATTCATATTCATGGGGTTAAATGCTCATTGGTGGATTTAGGAGTGTGAAAGGTCAAAGGTGTTTGTGTCAGAATGGGTGAGGCTTGGAGTTGTATGATTGGTTGATATTTTAGAGTGAGAAGTGTGTGAGTGGTTTTACTAGTTTGGTATTAGGTGCGCATGCTTGGCGCCAAATACCCCAACTAATTCACTCCACCCTAGGACAGCCAGGAGTAAGGAAGAATTCCTCTCCTACTCCACTAAGTCTATCATTTTATAATGTGGACAAATCAACTGTCTATTCGGTAAGAAATTTTACCACCGTTGCTCTAGATAAATTAAATATAAAGTAATTATCCACTTGAAGATAATTAGAACAGAAAAGCTAAAATATATTAAAGTAATTTAATGTGTGAATGTATAGGTATGAGAGTGTATTCATTTATTTTCATTACTGTTATTGTTACAGGTCACCTTTTTAGTCTTACCATGAAATTGGAAAATATATAAATCGAACCCAACAGCTGTTTTCATTGTTATTATTAAAAAGGAGTAGCAAAATAAATTTCGGCTGTGACATTATGGAATCTACCCCACCACCCCAGCTCCAAACTGGATGACATAGAGAACCAAACTTAGCATCAAAATATGTCTTACTGCCTCTTCAACCAACATATCAAATTTGAACTTAATTGGCCAACTACAAAAAAGTTATTAGAAAAAACAGAAAATTTGTAGACGGAAGAATGACAGACAGACAGACCGACAGACAGAGTGATTACTATAGGGCACCCGCAAATCCTTGCGGGGCCCTAATAACTCCCACCATATGGTATACCTAAACAAAGAGTGTGCTAAACTTTCAAGCATCTGCGATGAGTATTTGCTGAGAAAACTGTGACCTAAATTTTTTATGGATGGTATGGACAAACGCACAGATAAACAGGAAGTTGATATCAGATTCGTACAAAAATAAATCCCACCATATGGCTTGCCTAAACAAAGAGTGTGCTAAAATTTGAAGCATCTGCTATGAATAGTTGCTTAGAAAGCTGCGACCAAAATTTGTTACGTACATGTATGGTACAGACAGATGCACAGATAAACAGGAAGTTTGAAGTTGACATCAGATTCGTACAAAACTAAATCCCATCATATGGCATGCCTGAACAAAGAGTGTGCTAAAATTTCAAGCATCTGCATTGAGTAATTGCTGAGAAAACTGTGACCAAAATTTGTTACAGACAGACACACAGACGGACATATAGACAGACACACAAGGGTAAAACAGTATACCCCCCTCTCCTTCGGAGTGGGTATAATTAATAGTTCTTGGGGATGTAAATTCAAGGTTAAGGGTAACTCAGGAAATCCATGAATACCGGTATTGGTCCATATCATCAAACAATGACGATTCTACAGCAAGTCAAATAAAGAAATTAAATGTCTGGTGCAAGGAAAATATAACAGTGACTCTTCTTATTGAAAATATGCACCTACTGAATTCAAAAATTATAAATGGCTAATAGTGACATTAATCAACAGAGCCCAACATCTATTATGTCATAACACTACAATGTGGTACATATATCATAAATATAATGACCAAAAATCCATTATTAAATCTTTGAATTGTTCATACAACATATTGGAGGATCTCTCTGAACTATCTATGTTTATAGAGTCTTACTTAATCTCTTCCTCATTACAAAGAATTTAAATGACTGGTCTTTTGGCAAGGCTTACTCAGTTGTCATAGGTGACAGGGATCTAACTGACCAATCTCTGTACAGAGGAGGACTGACTCACTTGTCTCTGTTTACACAGGAGCTAGGTAGTCTATTCCTTTCCCTGTCCCTGTTTATATAAAAGGCTAACTGACCTGTATCTGTCTAGAAAAGGCCAACTGATCTATTTACTATTTACAGGAGAGATGACTGACCCTTCTCTGTCTGTTTACAGGAGAGATAACTGACCTGTCACTGTCTAAAAAAGGCTAACTGATCTGTCCCTACAGGAGAGATAACTGACCTATTCCTGTTTACAGGAGAGATAACTGATGACTCCATGTTTACAAGAGAAATAACTGACCTGTCCCGATTTACCAGAGAAAACTGACCTGTTCCTGTTTACAGGAGAGATAACTGACCTGTCCCTGTTTACAGGAGAAATAACTCACCTATCCCTGCTTACAGGAAAGATAACTTACCTGTCCCTGTTTACCAGAAAAATTTGACCCGTTCCTGTTTACAGGAGAGATAACTGGCCTGTCCCTGTTTAAAGGAAACATAACTGGCCTGGTCTGTCCCTGTTTACAGGAGAGAGGACTGCCCCCCCCCCCCCCACCCCCCAGTTTATAGGAGAGGTAACTGGTCTGTCCCTGTTTATGGGAGATATTACTAACCTGTCCCTTTTTACAAGGGCTTTGGTTTTCTGGTTTGGAGCACTCCTTGAAAATCCTTTTCTGTTTTGGAGTGGCATATTTCAGGTAGGACTCACTAATGGTGGGTAAACTGTTTACTGTTTCTAGGAAATTTTTCTTTTGTTGTCTCATCATCTCTTTCCTAATCTTCTTGGTTACTTTCCTAAATAATAAAATTATACAACAGATGTCTGAAAAATTAGATTTTTCACTTTGTCCATTTTCAATTTCAAAATCTTTATGACTGAGTAATAGAAAAAAAACTCTAGAACCACAATTCAGAGATCAATATCTTACTACAGAATTAGTTCTCTGGTATAAAATGCAGAGTAACAGTAAAATAAATGTGTAATATTTACCCCCTCTCCAATAGGACTGTGTCTCTCCAAGGTCTCCGTGTAGTCACAAAGGTATCAGAATCAACACCACTTCAATAAAGAAAAACACACTCTTTTCTTTATTTTTCAAGAAATGTCAATGATAGATAACTATTACATAATGTGCACAGATTTTTGTGCTATTACAATAAATCTAAGAAAAAAAATTAAAGATTGTAAACAAATAGTGAAAAATTAACATGGCCTCTCATTGAAAGTCTTTTTAAATGACTTTGGAAAATATATTAATTCCATTTTACTCAATCCACTTATGCAGAATTTAACTATGAAGTATTTATCTATTAAATTAAAATGACATACAATGCTTATGTTATACCCATGAGCTTGCTCTCTGTAATTCTTGGACTTGATCAATTTCATCATGGACCGTCCATCCATGTGACTAGGAATCTCTACACCTGCCATATCAAGGATAGTGGGAGCCAAATCAATGTTCACCACAATATTAGAAATCCTAAAATAGATCAAAGGTCACAATAATGTCAGAAATCCTACAATAGGTCAAAGGTTACAACAATGTTAGAAATCCTACAATTAGTCAAAGGTCACCACAATGTTAGAAAGCCTACAAAAGGAGGTCAAGGTCACCACAATGTTAGAAATTCTACAACATGAGGTTAAAGGTATGTTAAAATTTCTACAATATGGGGTTTAAATTCATTGCAATGTTAGAAATCCTTCAATATGAGGTTAAAATTCATCACAGTGTCAGAAATCTTCAGAACTCAATAGCATATACATGTAAAAAGTTGTATGATTGAAAATTGAAACAAATTTTTTTTACTTGGATCTTGGTTTGATTCCAGGTCCTCGGATATACAGTGGGACGCGTACATCAAAGTCATATGGCAAAGACTTGCCCTTCACAACTCCATACTGTCCCAAGTGGTAGCCATGGTCTGAGGTGTAAATAATGTATGTATTCTCCAGCTCATCCAAATACCACAACTCATTATATACCTAAAAATAAGCCTGCTACATCTGAGTATAGTGAACATTTCTTTGAAAAAAAAAACCCTCTTATTTCTAAAAGAAGCTCTCTTAATTCTAAATAAGAGAAGTGTCTCTTTATGTCAAATGAATTTTTCATTTCAGAGTTTCAAAAGCCTTTTTGGCAGGCCTATTTAACTTATTAACAATACGATGAAATACATCTACACCAACCTTACAGTATTCAGTTGCCTATCATGTAATAAAAGAAAGCTAAAACACTTATCTTTGTTCTCTGATTTCTTAATTTGACTTAAATGAAATCAATTGCTTGCACAGCTAAATCTATCAATACAAAAGGACTCAATCTATCAATGAAAATTAAATAAAAATGGTGTAAAATGAAATTGGTAACTAAAGTAACATGTATGAAAGTATGCTCTCCACCACTTCACCAGTTTATTCTGTTGGGGTGAACTTTGTTCTCCATTAGTTAGTCAATCTATTGTATAAAATCTCTTCTGTTTATGGTCTTACCTTTTCCACAAGTTCATGAGATCTTACCTTCTCCACTTGTTCATGTATTCTGTTTGAGATCTTACCTTCTCCACTTGTTCATGTATTCTGTTTGAGATCTTACCTTCTCCACTTGTTCATGTTTTCTGTTTGAGATCTTACCTTCTCCACTTGTTCATGTTTTCTGTTTGAGATCTTACCTTCTCCACTTGTTCATGTTTACTGTTTGAGATCTTACTTTCTCCACTTGTTCATGCTTTCTGTTTGAGATCTTACCTTTTCCACTTGTTCATGCTTTTTGTTTGAGATCTTACTTTCTCCACTTGTTCATGCTTTTTGTTTGAGATCTTACCTTCTCCACTTGTTCATGTTTTCTGTTTGAGATCTTACCTTCTTCACTTGTTCATGTATTCTGTTTGAGATCTTACCTTCTCCACTTGTTCATGTTTTCTGTTTGAGATCTTACCTTCTCCACTTGTTCATGTTTTCTGTTTGAGATCTTACCTTCTCCACTTATTCATGTTTTCTGTTTGAGATCTTACCTTTTCCACTTGTTCATGCTTTCTGTTTGAGATCTTACCTTCTCCACTTGTTCATGCTTTTTGTTTAAGATCTTACCTTCTCCACTTGTTCATGTTTTCTGTTTGAGATCTTACCTTCTCCACTTGTTCATGTTTTCTGTTTGAGATTTTACCTTTTCCATCAGTTCATGTATTCTGTTTGAGATCTTACCTTTTCCATCAGTTCATGTATTCTGTTTGAGATCTTACCTTCTCCACTTGTTCATGTTTTCTGTTTGAGATCTTACCTTCTCCACTTGTTCATGTTTTCTGTTTGAGATCTTACCTTCTCCACTTGTTCATGTTTTCTGTTTGAGATCTTACCTTCTCCTCTTGTTCATGTTTTCTGTTTGAGATCTTACCTTTTCCACTTGTTCATGTTTTCTGTTTGAGATCTTACCTTCTCCACTTGTTCATGTTTTCTGTTTGAGATTTTACCTTTTCCATCAGTTCATGTATTCTGTTTGAGATCTTACCTTTTCCATCAGTTCATGTATTCTGTTTGAGATCTTACCTTCTCCACTTGTTCATGTTTTCTGTTTGAGATCTTACCTTCTCCACTTGTTCATGTTTTCTGTTTGAGATCTTACCTTTTCCACTTGTTCATGCTTTCTGTTTGAGATCTTACCTTCTCCACTTGTTCATGTTTTCTGTTTGAGATCTTACCTTCTCCACTTGTTCATGTATTCTGTTTGAGATCTTACCTTTTCCATCAGTTCATGTTTTCTGTTTGAGATCTTACCTTCTCCACTTGTTCATGTTTTCTGTTTGAGATCTTACCTTCTCCACTTGTTCATGTTTTCTGTTTTAGATCTTACCTTTTCCACTTGTTCATGTTTTCTGTTTGAGATCTTACCTTTTCCACTTGTTCATATTTTCTGTTTGAGATCTTACCTTCTCTACAAGTTCATCCACTGACTGCAAAGTCTGGAGTCTTTTCTGTTGAAGGATGTCGGTAAATCTCTGTTCAATTGGCTCCATCTTTCCCGTCATTTTTAACAAATGCTGTTTGTCTGGGTTAGGGGCCACATTCCAGGTAGGAGTTCTGTGTGAAAAAAAAACAGTTACTGTAACAAAATATAAAGACAAAGGTTTGATAAAAGATTGTGACTTTTTTTCATTAATGAAGAGATATCTTTGATTTGAAAATAATGATGCAATAACTATGATTTTTAATTAATTATGAAATATTTGGGATTTTTATTTATTGATGATACAACTATGATTTTTTAATTACCAATACCTGTGTAGTGTGTTATTAAAGAAGAGATGCTGGTACTGCGGAGCTGCATCCTCAGGGCCATGAGGGGCGGGGACGCTCAGCACCATTAATACTGGCCTGTATTGGATAATTATAGAAATCATCACAAACACAATACACTGCATGGTCATAAAAGTTTATAATACAGGACCATGAGGGGCGGGGACTCTCAGCACCATTAGTACTGGCCTGTATTGGATAATTATAGAAATCACCATATACACAATACACTGCATGGTCATAAAAGATTATAATACAAAATGCAATGCTTCAGAATAGCCTACAGCTACATTACCAGTACAAACTAAGGCAGAATTACCTTTTAGGAAAATACTGTTTACTGTTCTTTAGAAAAGTAACACTATCATTGGCAATTAGGTCAGTAAAGTAGTCATTGTAATAATTATCCTCGTGCTTCATTTTATTGCCATTAAAATTCACAGTGTAGTTGTAGAATCGGGCATTTTTGATAAGCCCCACCCACTCCCTCCACCCCGGAGGAATATACGTCCCGTTATACTCGTTTAGGTACTTTCCAAAGTACCCTGTTCTGTAGCCAGCGTTATTGAGGTAGGTAGCAAAAGTTCGAGTTTCATGAGTCCTCTGCCAAAATGGAGAAGAACAATTGTCATTATTTGTGTGTACGTTATGATTGTGTGTGTACAGTCCAGTCAGGATTGAGCTGCGTGATGGACAGCACATGGGCGTGGAAACAAACGAGTTGTTGAAATGAACACCCTGGTCTCTCATAATGCGTAATGTTTTTGGCATCACCTCCATAGACCCTACAATATAAGATTTACATTCATTTGAAGTTTTCGTGACTTTCCCAGTTATATAAGTGAAGTTATTGTTGGAATTGATTTGGTAAAATTGATTTACAACCTTTTCAAAAGTGCTTGGTTATTCATAAACAACAAAAATGTGGATGGTTTTAAATTTCATGGCCCATACTTGAATGATTTAAGGCTATAGAATTGGACCAAAGATTCCATTCAAAAACTACTTAAATGATATTAACAAGGATCAGATTAATCAATTATCATTACCGATTATTAAGCTTTTGAACATCTTACACATATCAAATTGTTTCGTGTCAGAAGGAGTTTCCTACTTTATAAATAATTTACAGTGATGTTCTTTTATAAAGCAATATTATCTAAACCTTTTATCATGACATTAGGTCAAAATGCACCTCCTGTCACTAAGAACCCCCACCTTGCAATTTTAAATATGGGACAGATGTACAAATAGGCATGCTAGATCAATTCATGTATTTATTAACAAGAGGCCGATGGGCCACATCGCTCACCTGAGCACTGTGGCTAGGAAAAAGTAGAAATTGGTTAATTATTGAAAAGTTTAAACCCAAAAGTATAGTCCCATGACCAATCATGGCTTTGCTATTCTTGAGAAGATTTTTAAAGAATTTTACTATATAATTCTATGTAAAACTTTGGTCGGCCATTGTGGCTCTGCCCTATCCCCGGGGGTCATGATTTGAACAAACTTGAATCTACACAATCTGAGGATGCTTCCATATGAATATGATCAATTATGGCTTTGCTATTCTTGAGAAGAAGATTTTTAAAGAATTTTCCTCTATATTTCTATGTAAAACTTTGGTCGGCCATTTTGGCCCCGCCCTACCCCTGGAGGTCATGATTTGAACAAACTTGAATCTACACACCCTGAGGATGCTTCCATATAAATATGATGAATTATGGCTTTGTCATTCTTGAGAAGAAGATTTTTAAAGAATTTTCCAATATATTTCTATGTAAAACTTTGGTCGGCCATTGTGGCCCCTCCCTACCCCCAGGGGTCATGATTTGAACAAATTTGAATCTACACTACCTGAGGATGCTTCCATATAAATATGATGAATTATGGCTTTGTCATTCTTGAGAAGAAGATTTTTAAAGAATTTTCCAATATATTTCTATGTAAAACTTTGGTCGCCCATTTTGGCCCCGCCCTACCCCCGGGGGTCATGATTTGAACAAACTTGAATTTACACTACCTGAGGATGCTTCCATATAAATATGATGAATTATGGCTTGGTCATTCTTGAGAAGAAGATTTTTAAAGAATTTTCCTCTATATTTCTATGTAAAACTTTGGTCGGCCATTTTGGCCCCGCCCTACCCCCGGAGGTCATGATTTGAACAAACTTGAATCTACACTACCTGAGGATGTTTTCCCATAAGTTTCATCTTTCCTGGCACAGTGGTTCTTGAGAAGAAGATTTTTAAAACATCCCACCAAATTTTCCTTAATTCTTAATTATCTCCCCTTGAATGAGGGCATGGCCCTTCATTTGAACAAACTTGAATCCCCTTCACCCAAGGATGCTTTGTGGCAAGTTTGGTTGAAATTGGCCCAGCAGTTCTGGAGAAGAAGTCGAAAATGTGAAAAGTTTACAGAAAGACAGACGGACAGACAGACAGACAGACAGACGGACGCCGGACAAAATGTGATCAGAAAAGCTCACTTGAGCCTTCGGCTCAGGTGAGCTAACAATGAAAAGCACTCTAGTAGACCTTTCCCTGCAATTTATAAGAAACTAAATATTGAAAGATCATAACAAATGTCTCTGGTAATATTAATTAAACACATTAAAACACATCACACTTACCCAGCAATTCATCCTGGTCATCTGTAAGAATCAGTACAATGTTTGGTTTCTGACTTTTAGCCCGACGGCTGCCATAACGCAGGTTGGTTCCCTGTCCATGGTTATGAGAACTAGACCATGATGCAAAGGTCCATCCCAGGATCAGCCACACAGTGAAAATAAGTAGACTCCTCATTCTGTGTGTGGGGTGGGTTTATTAGATGAGGTGTCCTGTCTAGCTCTCATGTAAATATTTGTGGGTGGCTACTGGGCTGGTAGACATCATTAGGGAACCCTGTTGATTACAGATCGGGATATTATAGTGTAACATATAGCACAAATAACAGAATCAATTATCAAATGATATACATGTACAGTATAAGAAGTACAACAAAACCATGAATTCTATTGCAAAAGATGATGATCAATCAAACAGTGTGCATCCCTTAATATGTAAGAAAAATATTTCTCCTTCAAACAGATTTAATTTATAGGTGAGCATTGATAAAACATCTTTTTTTTCTTAAAATCTCCTGCAAAAAATTCTTATAAAAATAAAAGTAATTGGGCAATGGGTGAGGTGTATACTAAGTCTAATTATCATTGTTTATAAAAGCTCTTTATATAATATATACACTGAAAACTAAGACCGCACATTATAAATAAATGAATTGCTTTTAATAGTACACAAATAACTAATACATATGTAATTATTAGCAATAAGATAAAATATATGATAACAATTACATGTGATTTTTGCTCTAAGATTGCTTTACTTTGATTGCACCGGGGAATATCAGACTGAACTAAAAGATACCCATCTCAATAAATTAAAGAAAACATTTTAAGATAATAAACATGATAAACAAACACAGAGAACACACTTGTTACGGGGGATAGCTGGAGCAGTAGAGTTCTCCCTTCATCATGTTTAACAACCAGGGAGATTAAGTCTTACATAACAAACCTATTACCCACTGACAAAAAACCTCCATCAATGACAGCGGCCCACATTAATTTCTGTCTGGTTTACTGGAGACAATCACCAGAGGTCTGTATTCATTAGCTGGCACTAATACAGAAATAGGTTTTTTTCCCTACTGGAATATTTATAAGACCAAATTATCATATAATAGTCATTTTCATCAAATATAATAAAGCTAATTTAGCATTTGTCTGTATTGACAGAAACCTATTAAAGTCACTGGGAAATTATTCATCAATACTGTATCAAGTCAGAGGTGCATTTATTGGAAATAAAGGTGTATAATTAATGAAACCTTTGCATGTATGTATTTCCTCATCTATTAAAGTCAGATCGTCAAAAGAAGAGTTGAACATGTCCATAAAATAATTTTCATATTTCTACTAAATCAATATTGAATGTATGACTTGGTCTTTTTCTCTCGCTGTCTATTAATGAAATCGCAAAAATTATTTCATATTTACCAGAGGAGAAAAAAAACATATGTTAACATCATTAAAACGAAATTATCTCACTCTATTAAGAATTGAACAATTGACTAAATATGTGTATATCTCACATGTACCGGGGTATATAAATCTGTAATTCAAAATACAAATTTCTAAATTCCTACTACATATTGAAAATAAAAATTCTTGTTTTAAATAATCCAAAAGCCACATCACTGACCTTACCTTGCTGCTTAAAATGATAATTAAACAAGAAAACTTCATTATGCAATGCCTGGTAATTAATTTAAATGTCATCCAAAACAATATGAAGCGCAGGTATAGAAGACATTACATCACTAATTAGACCAAGGTAAAACCACACAGGATGGTATCAAACTCCACATTATAATGGTAACCACATTACATACACCTAATGACCTTATTTGACCCTTGACCTCAAATAAACCATGGCACTTACTAGGAGAGGCTTCAGATTGTTATTTTTGGCCTGGGTTATGAGATTGCTGAACTCCACAGATAATTGATGCAAAAAAGCCTTCATTGTGTGAATTATAACCAAATATTTGAAGTTTTCCCCCCACTTAGGTTCGAGATTTCATTTTCTTTTGACAAGAGCAGACTTTTTTATTTTTCTTCTTTTTAACGAACTGGTGAATGGCCTCTACAAAAAGAGAAACACTGAATTCAAATAGATTCTGAAATATTTCAAGAGGTTTACGCTTTACATTGATTTGTGAAAAACAAACACTCAAGTTAATCCTGTAAATCCAGTTTTAGCAAAACGCTGCATTATTATTTAAAGCCTATGTCACAGTGGCAAAAGCATCACACATTTTCTTTGTAATGCGATACATTTGAGTGGCTTTGAACCAGAAAAAAATTCAATTGTTCTAACAGTTGCAAAAAAGAGAAAAGATATGGCATTACTCCTGATCAGATCTAAGGCAACACACCACACCAGACCCCACAGAAAATTACAGTTCAAGCATTCATAAACTACTTCTTAAATTTGCTCACTTTTTCAGGTGGTTTCCCAAAGATCTTTACATAAAAAAATGTGTAATCCAAAAATATTTATGCTTTGCTTGAATGAGAGCAAAAATCATATATTACAATCATACAGATGTTTGTAATGTTACTTTGTGATGGTAGATCATGGCACGATGTCTTACATCAAAATATCAGGTTCTAGAAAAACACTGGATCATGTATCAAATTAAAATAAAAATTACATATGTTATCCTTGGATTATATTTGTGCATCCATCACAGTAATAAAAGTATAAAAGTAGGTTTCTGTCTTTTTTTGGTTTTGATATCACAATAATTGACACTGAAGCTTCCAAGCAAATATACCATCAAAAATTGTGAAACTGATATATACATGTACCTACCAGTAAGTATATTCAAACTCCTTCAACCAAACACCTGGTAATAATGTCACAGTTAAATTACAAATTACTGGTATATCTCAGGCATTTTACATGTCAAGTTTTAAAGTGTAGACTTCCTTGTTTCACAAGAAGACGATGATATCATCTGTTCAGAATGATGATCAATATCTTATGAACATCCTCTCATACGGTACAGTCTCACACACAACGAAAATTACTGAACACAACTGAACTGCCAAATTCTGAATTATCCCCAGTACTCTCAAGTTATATTGAAGCTGTCTAACATCTACACTGTTTAAGGAAATCTCCAACATCAACAAAAAATTCACATAGCTTGATTTAACAATGTGTTTGGCATTAAAACTGTGGTTACATAAAACACAGCTTTGATCCTAGCTATGGCAGACCACACTATAGAACAGCCTGTGCACTACCTGGCATCTTACTGGAGGTTATTAACTCTTTTAATGCCATGTCTATTTTTCTTGGATTATTTGACTATGATGGCTACAGAGTTCTGACACATTCCTTTCTATTGTAGCTTCATGAGTCTGATACAGGTTTCTGTTAGAAGGTTATACCCTCACGTCAGACTGTAACAAAACCATTGACTGGGCAGAATAAGTACCCAGACAAATACATAAAATTTAATTTCATATTAAACTGTATCAGAAAAAAATCTATCTAAATGTTCATTTCAATAATCTGCACCTTTTAATCTTGATCTTTCCTTGAAGGACTCAAATCTCCAGTTTTGATTAAACAATTTTTAACCATGCACCCTCCATCTGTGTTTTAAGTTGAGATATACTTACTGGACATACAGTCCCTGAAACGTTCTACTTTCCCACTTGAACGGTGAGCGAACGCTGAACGAACGGTGAACGAACGCTGAACGAACGCAGAGCGAACGGTGAGTGAACGATGTGTGAACGCTGAACGCAACTTGGTGAACGATGTGTGAACGGTGAACGGTGAGCGAACGCAGAACGCGAACGGAGCGCAAACGCGAACGCAAAGTGAACGGTGAACGAACGGTGAACGCAAGATGAACGATATATTCGGAATGCCTCTGATCTTTTCCTTGCATTGAAACTATTTTATTGTATTATAATGTCAGGTGCCAAAAAAAAAAAAATAATATAAAAACAAGTAAACCAATAAATGAATGAATAAATAAGTAAATAAAATAAATTCTCCAAAATTGTCCTAAGAAAGACGATTCATGCACATAAGTTTTTAATCACACGATTTTTAACGCATTAAAACATTGCAATTGTTGCCGAACGCTAAAGTGTAAAAGATATTTTTTTAGTTGGAAAATAAAAATGTTTATTCTTATTTGATAACAAATCAGAGAAAACTTCTGACTTATAGAATGAATTAAAGCGATTGTAACATCCATTCATATATGTATCTCCGTGTCAAGGCGATTTCATGTAAAGTAATAAAAAAATTAATTACAAAGGTCAGTGGACGTTTTGCATTTATACGCTCGTATTTTAAATTTTTAATACAAAAATGTATTATGTGTCATTTCTATTTTTTATGATGATTTATTGAGCAGACTTCTACATGTATCTGTAGATGGCCGTGATTATACTCAGACAAGATAATACAAAGATACATATTCATATTATTTGTTATAAATTCTATTTTCCGAACTTGATATTTAAGTAATATGCTGTTATAATTTTTATCAAACAGACAAATGAGAGAGAGAGAGAGAGAGAGAGAGAGAGAGAGAGAGAGAGAGAAAAGAGAGAGAGATTCCGTTTTAGCCCCCCCTTCCTTTCAGGCTTCACTAAATGTTTGCACCTATATCAAACAATAACTCTGATATTTTTTTCTAAATATATTAGACAGTGAAAGTAACTTTTTTTTTTATTATCAACAAATCATATCCATCTGTTTGACAGTATTACTCGTTTTTATTTTCCTGCTTCAAGTTCACACGAAGTCCACGTGCTTGTCCTGTCAATCAAAATCATTCGACACTGTGCAGGTGAAAGTTTCGTCACATCGAAGACGAAGTGCGAGTATTTCCAACAAGTTATAACATTTATTTTTATAATTTCTAGATTTGATACCAACATTTGAATAATTAGTGAATAAAATATATTGGGCATTAACACTTGAATTTGAAACATACTCTCTGCCAATTTCAAATACCACCGCCAACACGTGTACATTTTGAACTACTATTGTTTTGTGACTTTTTTTTAGATGCATGTTTGTTTTGAGACTGAAATTTTTGTTCTAAAAAAGACCTTAACTTTTTTTTTACAGGTTAATTAAAATTTTCTGGAAATACAGTACTGACTAAGTAACCGATTTAGGGGAAAAGGGGGGGGGGGTATTAATCATATCGAATAGCAAACATATAAAGTTACGGTGAAGAAAGATTTTTTTCTCTATAACTATAGACTTTACATACATGTATTATAGTAGCGAATATTCTGTAGTGCATTACATTTTAAATAAATATTTCCTTTAAACACACTATCAATTTAATTCGCTTCAAAGATAATAAATTAACAGGATATCCGCAGTACTATGTATAACTCTCAGAACTAGTTCTATCATATTTTCTGTAGTAATTGAATAAAAAAACACGTTAGAAATAAATATTTTCGTAATTTTGCTGCGTAATTATTTGACTTGGATAATTATATTTCCATTAACGATTTGTCGTCTTTAACAAAACATCAAAATGTTGCAGTGCTTGAAGTATTTGCACATTGGCCTTAGTTAAATTTAATATTTCAGCATCGTTCTACATAGGTACAGGATGTGCTTATAACAACATTTTTTTCCAGAGTAATTTAATAAATAACCTAATAGCTAAGTTAGAATAATAAAAATATATATCTTAGATATTTTCCCCCATGAAATAATGATTCTTCAAACACGATATGTTAGTATTAAATTAAACAATCTGTAACTCCTTACCTACAAAAAGATAAGTCCTTTCACTTGGGAGTTCCGAATGGCAATGACAACTGAACGATAGGTGAACGCTGAACGCAAGGTGAACGCAAAGTGAACGGAACGAAGAGCGAACGCTGAACGCTTTGTGAACGGTGAACGCGAGCGCACAGTGAACGGTGAACGCAAAACTGTGAACGGAGAGCGAACGGTGAACGCACGGTGAGCGAACGGTGAACGCACGCTGAACGAACGGTGAACGAACGGTGAGCGAACGGAAAAATGGGAAAGTAGAACGTTTCAGGGACTGTATCTCTGTCCTTGACCAGTCCTCAACTTTTCTCTTTCTCTCTCTCTCTCCAATCCTACACCTCTGTAAGTGATCACAAAGTTTGGTTGGAAGAAAAATACATCTACAGTACTTATATCATCCTATGGCTCAAGAACAGTCAATCATAATATTAATTCTTACCTATTTATCTTTACTTTTTGATCTTAGAATCTATAACCTTAAATCCCTCACTACCAACAATGTAAAAAAGTTTGTAGATTGAGAAATATTTAAGTTACAGTGTGTACACGTAGTAGACAGACATACAAAAGTGTTGTTAACAGCATTTTAAAATATGACAGAGAAAATCTGTCAAAAGACTATCTCATTGAAAAAAAAAGTAAATTGAGCAAGAAAATTATATTTATTTTGTCAGTACACATTACTAAGCCCTAAATATAAGAAAAACACACTAAAAAGGGTCATCTGAGCCATTAAAAACAGCACTTTTCAATTTATCTTTTTTTTTCCAATATATAATATGGAAGAGTACGATGATAACAATAAGTTATTTGTGTCGTTTAAGCATGTTAAGTACAAGTGTGTCTTTGTCAATTGAACACTTGAAAAGATGTGGTTTTCCAAACACTGCATACAATAGTGACTACACCCCAAACAACATCATTGAATCTGCACTTTCTAAATATATTTACATCAATTTGCAATTTTCTCTTTGAAAAAGTTGCATAAACATTTATCATAATGAAAAAAAAGAACAGGACAGGAGACACCCATCAAAATTAACGATGTATTGACTGAATACAAATTGTAGTAGTTTAATCACAAAATTCTGATTGATGATTCTCCGACATCAGACTGCATTTTGTGAATGCAGTTCTCTGGGTCTACTTGACACACAATGTCTTCAAAGTATTTCAAACTGTTTCTTTGCCAGATTTATTGATATCCTCTACATTAACATCTGTGTTTTTATACCTATCATTCATCAAAATCTTAAAGTAATTAAGGGCAAATGTGTTAAAGGCCTGCTTTTTATTCTACTTATACAAACATTTATAAGCACAAAGAGTGCTTCATCATTAAAAACACACATAAACAAATACTGTGTTACATCATTTTAAAATGAAATAAATTTTTCACATCTTGAAATAATGAAACTAGCCAACCAAGAAATCTGGAAAATTTCTAGCACCAAATTAAAATGTGAAGTCAAATTTAGTTTTAGATTAAGAATAAATTTGCATCTCAAGGGCAAATCATGATTTTCTTCTTGAAATTCTATATAAGTCCTAAATTGTAATGTTTGAAAAAATATTTTTTGCTTCTTTAAACTAACAAAGTGATGTCTAATGTAAAGTGATGTCTAAACAGGACCGCTTACCTTGATTGTGAAATATTTGATTAATCAGCAATTTCTCTTGATATCCATCAATCTTCATAACATACTGCTGTCTGTGCACAGGGAATGTAATCTGCAGCAATAGAAAAATAAACTCACCAAGGCATCAAGCAGAATTATTGGACTGCCGTTACATCAAAGGCATGTCATTATCAAAATACATCTGCCTGTCATTATGTGCGGGTACATGCATGACATTTCACAATTTATGCAGAAGTGGCCCAGTTCCGCATGGTCCTATTATGTATGTAGGTTACCCCGACTATAGACAACAGTTATAGTGTCTCTACTGTCTCCATTCTATCAGGGAGGTGTAATTAATCCCCCTCATTAACATTTAAGGGAGGTGTAATTAATCCCCCTCATTAACGCCTAATCACCAACCACTTCTACATTAAGAATAGATCAACTGAAGAAAAGCAGATTAAAGCTGAGGAAAATCTAGCTGTCGATCAGTCATTTCAGAGTAATTCTACCCTGGGTGTGACATCGCCGCATAGGACACCAACATTCTTTTTTCTTTCATTGGGTGTTTCACTCAGGTATCAGCGTATATATACTTTAAGATTCGTGATGATTTCCTACAGGAATGTCTTCGGTCAAGGAGTACAAACTGGGAGGCTATAAATATTAAATTTTGATTGGAAATTATTTCAGGTATCTATCCCACTTGATGAAATAAATAAGGCACAATCCTTGATGTATAATTAATTGATCACACACTGGGAAAATTAAATGCACTTTTGTATGGTTCACTCACTCCAAACCATCTTCATCACATTGAGTATCAGTCATAAAAACGCCAATATATATCATGTGTATAGGAGAAATCCTTCCCTGATAACTAGGAGAAAAGTACTGAAACTAAACTATAACATAAAAGTAACATTTCATAATCAAAACAAAAGTTCACACAAAAGCAGTACATTCTTTCAAAAATTTATCCAAAACCCTAAAATAAACTTAACCTCTTTATAAATACCTTAAATTTCTCAGCAAAAAAAAAAAAAAAAAAACCACTGCGTGGTGCCTTAATTTTTATTTGTTCTTAACAATGCCTACAAAAACACCATTTAGCCTTTTTTTCTTAAAAAAAAAAAAAATAAAAAAAAAAACACTAAAGCAGAAAATCAGGTTAACCATAGAAACCTGACCTGATCCAGATACCGTACAGTACTGTAGTTTATAATATGTATCCTTAAAATTTTAATTTAATGTGTATATGAACATAATGCTCTGCCAAATAGCAGACCTACCCCCATATCTGTTGTGATACCAGGGTACATTTGATCTGCATCATTCTCATGTAGCATGCTTCCATGACATTGTACATTAAGAAAAAACTGTAAATTTGATCTGCTTTAAGTGTGGACAGTAGATATATATCATAAACTTGACTTTGTTTCCACCGTCTGTCTATAGGCTTCTATCTGTCTGCTACAAGTCAACACACAAAGGAACGGAATGTCACACTGCTCTGAACATTTGTTGCAAGTACAAAATGTGGTATGACCCAAAATACAGCTGAGGCAAAAGTGCATGACAAGCATGATAAGGGCATCTGATAACTCAATCAGAAAAAAAAAACTCTGTTTACGGTAAATAATTTCTGACCACATTCCTACCCTCTGATTTTCTGTATGTTTTCTATATACACCCACATACTTCAGATATATGTACTAGTGTGACACTTCTTAAAAAATCACCCACTGAGCATTAATGCCAAAAATTTCTTTTTACCTGAATAATTACAATACAATATTTAACCGATACGCTGCTTTGCTCTCACGTATTAAAGCTACAATATGAATACCATATGCACTGACATCTTGAAAGAAATATTTGTCATGTCAAAGCCAAAAATTTTACATGCACATGAATTTCACTCTTTTCCATTAGAATTTTCTATGTATTCTTCTATATTGTTAAATCACTTTAAATCCAAATTATGCAAACACTTTCCTGCATGAAACTACACATGACATGGATTACTAACCTGGATGTGCAGATTCAGAATTTTTTTTAATGATTAACAGATTGTTATATCAACCTGATAAATATACTTCATAGCTGTATGAAGATATATCTGATCAGTACACTATGAGTATATAATAGTTAAACACAGTATCAGTCTCTATGATAATATTATATGATTATAACATTATTGGCAAATAAAAGGGTCATCTGTTGTTTGCTTTATCTATTCATTAAATTTTTGATCTTTGTAACAAAATACAACAGGAAAGCAAGCGATCTTTTGATTCCGCTGACAACACTACAGGAAAAGTGCTAGACAAATATTGATATACACGGTGTGAGAGCCCCAGTCCGCCACAAAGGTGGCGTCCAACATTAAAGTTCTCATCAAATGATACCCTTCACTGCACCAGGGTGCAAGATAACATAACACATTGTATGTATTTATTTTAAGTGCAGCCAATCTCTCTGTAAAACAAAAATTGTAACTAGGATCAAAGTCCTGCACCAGCCCTCGACCAAACAATCTTATTTTTTCTTGTGGATCAATTATCTAAAATGCCGAGTCATTTCAGAGGAATACCAACGTTGACCCTGAGATAGCCTGCAGTTTACTGTGCACTATGAACCCCCCAACAAACAATGAAGATTTTAAAGAGGAAAACATGTCAATGAACTGTTACGTCAGATCTGCAGAGAAGGGGACTGGTATAAAAACAGGTCACAACAAGGGATTACAGGGAAGTGCTCAATGACTTCTGTTAGGTAAACCTTTATACCGGTGAATACACATCTCTGCTCAATCAATCCTTTTCTACAGTTGCTACTAAATAATATATATGTATATCAAAACAGTCAAACCAAATTTCAATTTCTAAATTGGTATAACACCTCCCATTTTTAAAGCCTGAAATGTATGGACTGTTTCCTACATTTTAATTTTTTCCCCCATCAATTTACTATGACTATGTATTTTAATTTTTCACATAGAAAGGAAAAGGTCACTTTCAAAATTTGTGTTGAAATAACTTTTATTCTAGTATAATTTCTGATTATCATTTCTGCTAAATGATCTACTAGAAGACATTGAATGATTGATATTTCAAATACTGAAAAATGTAAAGAACAATAGATGTTAATTATAAGGATATACCATATACTTGCCTGCATGAAAGTCTCAAATTTCTCTATCCTCTTATATAAGGACTGGGTCTGAAGAAACGTTTTCTTTCTATTCATGTCGGTGAAAAAACGAGCGTAGCTCAGATTCATAAATTCACTTGCCTACCGTTTCGCATTTGTAAAGTATAAATAGCAAAACGAGAGAAAGGGGGCGCAAACCATCAATATACTTACCAATTATCAAATCCTAATAAATCCACAAAAAGCCCCAAACATAAATAATCTTAAATCTTGTGTCAACATCAACGATCAAGTCATCGTCAGAGAGTTCAATGAAAGTTTAATATTTTGAACATCGAGCCCGTGTTAATAAAAGTGAACCCGATACAAGAGAGATTGGGGTTGAGTTGGAGGATTATACGAAAATTTCAAATAAAGCTTTTTAGTTAGCCTATTCTATTTCTTGATTCAAGTACATGTATTTCTATTTTAAAAATAAATGTTTTCCTTTTCACATACAAAGATAATCACATAACTGAAATAATTGATATTTTTCTCCTATTTACATATAATGAGGATAAAGTACAAAATGATAAACAAGAATTTTAAAACTGATTTTTTAAAATATGAATATACTTATCCATGTAGTTTAAAACTAAATACAATTACTGACAAGATTTTAATTTGATAGGGAAATAATATCAATTAATATATTCTAAATCTCAAGTCCCTATTTTTTTTAAAAGTTAATTTAGTACAGAAAATCTTTTAAGACTGATTGTTTAAAAATGTTAACTTAATTAATTTATTTTTGGTTGTAAATTTGAAAAGCAAATCAAGTGACATTTTTTTTTACATCGCTAGGTTACTCAATCACATCTTGCCGATTTAAAACCCAGTTTAAATACCACGTGTATTTCTAAGTCAAGTTGTTGAATTATATAAAGGAAAGAAAAAAAAAATATCTTGTTCAATTCTTATAAAACATTTCAATATAAAGGACATTTATGCAAATGTTCTTTGAATATTTTAGGTTGTCAGAAACCTGCGATAATAATTCATCCTCGTGGAATAAACAAATTATAGCAGTATCAATTTAAACAAATGAATATTGAATTTAATACGATTCAAAATTATTTTGTTGGTTCTTTTAAATAAGGGGTGCAAGCACACCCAATATCACCTTACATGTACCACTTTCTACGGCATTGCTAACAACTTCTGCGGAAGTCCACGACCAATCTTGAGAAGAACTTACACAAGTGCATGTATTTAATAACACCAAGACTAATTTTTTTAAAAAAATCATTGGTTCTAGGAAATGATAAATATTCACTGAAAGTACACTGAAATATGTATTTTTTCTCAACACTAGAATGGTACTTTAATAAACAATATCCGTACCCCCCCCCCCTTTAAAAAAAAAAAGAAAGAAAGAAATTTGCACGCCAAAGTAAGAATGCTCCCAACTGTAATAACATCATCTACTCATGAAGCTTCCATTCAGAAACTAAAATCTTGAATCTAAATCCATGGTGGATTTTTCACGTGACGATTTAATTTCAACTTTGCTGATATTGAGTAGAAGATTTATAAGGTTTGCTGCTATTCATGTGATCCCAGTACCGAAGCTTAGTTTGAATAGATCTGAATCTGCACCGCATATCAGGTATATACGGCCATAAGTGAGTCATCATTTTATTTTTTCACTGTATATTTCATTGAAAAACCAATTATTTTTATAAAAACATAGTGTATTAAAAAAACAAAATCACTTAATTAATTATGTAGAATTGTTCAGCTTTCTTTTCCTAAGATGCAAAGCAAATTGTGCTATCCAGATCATTGAGGATAATTTATAAAATAATCAAGGCAAATAAAATATTAAACCTTGAGCAGATTCTGATAAATTCTTGACAAATTTGTTCTGTAAAATTTCTATTTCAATTTGACGGGATATCGCTACGTTTACA